CTCTCACTGCCTAGCTTGATTTTTTTTCCCACTGTCACTGTACTTCAGGTTTAACTTAAACTCTTTGGATTCTAACACACGTTCGGTATTTCAAATTGTCATCCACTCATTAGACTTAGCCTGGCTAAGTGAATCAAATTGTACCTCTACTAGCTCTGCTGAAAGTGCTAATTCACTGTATCAACTCAAAACTTACTTATTATTCTTTTACTAAACACCTGCTAGAATCACGTTTTCTTGTTCTACTTTGGATAACTAGAGTGAGGAATAAGGTTATTTATAACTTCCCTCATCATCCGACCCTATTCTATGGTCGCATAATATCCTTTTTTTTCTAAACTATGTGCTAGATCACACTTAAGGAATTCATCTGTCTTAAACAAAATTAGAATATCTAACCCCAAACTTTTTATATAATACAAAATCATATCATACTATAAACATCCGCGATAATCACTTAGTCATATAACCTAAGGGGGAACTGCCATATCTTTTATCTTACATCAGTAGCTGCTTCTTATAGTAGCTTAATAACGTGGTACTTCTAGTTCTGATTTGAATAAATCTAAACAACTTAAAATGATTCCCTGAAATTCAATATTGGCTGCTCTTGGTTCTCATTGCATACATCATATCTTCTAGTCATTTGCATGAGTTGTACGAAATCACATATTTGGTAATAACAAACGTTTGTGACTCCTAAGTATTTTACCCTTAGGCTCTTTTCTGTCAAAAGTATAGTGACCAATGTTAGGGTCTGACATCTCAACTATCATCATCCAACTTGTGGCTCCATTTCTAAAAATTACATGAAGTTGTTCTAGGAGGTAAAACACATACGAATACACTACCATGCACAAACTTATCTTTCAAAGTATACCATCATCTGATAAATCACTTCCTGCGCCCTCTGGTGAGTCTTGGTCTTAATCCAAACCTAAAATATGCGAAAGATTTCGCTATAAGCACTGTTACTTACATTTTCTTTTAGCACCTATAGGCATCACTGTGTACTCACCAGTCATAAGAATTTTGATACACTGAAAATTGGAGATCTGGTAACTGAGTAACTAATAACTGGCATACTGAATAACCATAAACATGTTAACTGAAAGATTGTATAACTGGTAGCTGAGTAAAACTGATGACCATAAAACGTAATAATTGTTTTTGTACTTTCTGATAAGGTTATGCTTTAATCTGTACTACTATCCATTGAATCCAACTTTTAGCACCCTCTCAAGTTTCATATTTACCAAGCTGACTCTATAATTATATCCCAATGGGCAATTATCCCCTCTAGGACCTTAAGTTTCTCCTGCGCGTCGCTTAGGCATCCAATACGTTTGGAATTCGATAGGAAAAGAAGATTACCTATTGCTCTAAGTTTCATGGCACGATCTAGAGTAGAAAGAAGTGAGACAATCCTGAATGTCTTGGTAGTTAACTGTTTATATGAGTGGCCGGCACACACATATAAAGGAAACTCCACTAGACACGACTTCATAGACTCCCTAGGACACTTGAATCTAGGGCTCTGATACCAAGCTTTGTCACGCCCCGAACTTGGTCCTGGACGTAACACGGCACTCAGTGCCTAACTACATGTGACCGAGCG